AGCTTCCAGCATGTAGTTTACATGCAGGATCTCCAACTCATCGGCCCACACCACAAAGCTTGCACATCATAGCACTCACCACATACCTTACACCACACCATTTAAACCACCCAGCATACACCGCATATATCATACAACCTAGCAACCATATCATATCTTCCAAAACCAACTTGCAACGTCTAGCTTACGCGGCAACTATTGCACAGTATAGCTTGCACGCCATAAAATCCTTAACAGAACTTACACCGCATGGCGTTCACCTCCACAGTGCAATCACGCACTGGTTGAGTTCCACGCAGGGTAACTGCTTGTTCATTCTTCAACACATACTCGTGCATGATTCATTGATCGATTTATGTGTAAACATCCATATACATACATATCGTCATCTCCAACACGTACGTTCTGTCGTACTGCAGGTGCACTAACTTCGGGCGCTGCCACTGCACAATGGTCTTGTAGAACTTGTGGGCGTTCGTGTGCGAATGTCGGGCGGCTATTTCAGAATGCCAAGCAGCACCGTAGGGTGCCGTCCCTCTCTTTTGTTTTTTTTTGAGGGGGGGCACTCTCTTGCAGCGCAGACTGGCTTGTATGGCGCAGTGAATGGTATGCGAGACACCGCAACTGTATTTCGTGCAACGTCGCTTCACGTCGAAAGTGTGACGTAACACAGCCAACAACACGAGAACACGTATGTAACGAACACGCGTGTGCACTATGGCAATGCGTTGCGGCATGAAGTGCATTGCCTGGTAATGATGTCATGTGTTTCTCGTTCTGGTATGTGACCTCAAGAACGTCGATCGATTTCATTGTGATGCGGTGCCACACGTTGTGACAAGGCCTTGCAGAGCACACGTTGTGCGTTGGGCCAACCATTACGACATACTACACTTTACCCCCGCTACTCACACGACTACTACTTCCACTAAAACTACTACTACAACTACTTCTACTACTACTACTACTACTGCTGCTGCTGCTGCTGCTGCTGCTACTCCTACCACTACCACCACCACCACCACCACTTCTGTTACTACTACTACTACTACTGCTACTGCTACTACTACTATTACAACTACTACAACAACTACTACTTCTGCTACTACTACTACTACCACTATTACTACGACTACTACTACTACTACTACTACTACTGTTACTACTACTACTACTACTACTACGACTACTACGGCTACTACGGCTACTACTACTGCTACTACGACGGATACTACTACTGCTGTTACGGCTACTACTGCTACCACTACTACTACTACTACTACTACTACACCTGCTACTACCGCTGCTACTACTACGACCACTACTACTACTACTACTACTACTGCTACTACTTCTCCGTTTACTACTACTGCAACTACAACTACGACCACCACTACTACTACTACTACTACTACTACTACGACTACTACTATACTACTACTACTACTACTACTACTACTACTGCTACTACTACTACTATTATTACTACTACTACTACTATTACTACTACTACGACTACTACTACCACTACTACTACTACTGCTACTACTACGACTACTACTACTACTGCTGCTGCTGCTGCTGCTCCTGATACCACTAGTGATACAACGGCTACTACTACTGCTACTACGACTATCCCCACTACTACTGCTACCATGTCAGCTACTGCTACGACTACTGTTACTGCTGCTACTACTATTGCTACTACTACTACTAATACTACTGCTGCTGCTGTTAGTGCTCGTACTACTACTTCCACTACTACTACTACTGCTACTACGAATCGTACTACTACTGCTACTACTACTACGACCACTACTACTACCACTACGGCAGCCACTACTACTACTACTACTACTACTACTACTACTACTACTACACCTACTATTACTAATCATACTACGACTACGGAGATGACGACGACGACGACTACTACTACTACTACTACTACTACAACTACTACTGCTACTACCACTGCGACTACTACGACTACTACTACTACTACTACTACTACTACTACAACTGCTACTACTACGATTACGACGTCGACTACGACTGCGACGACGGCTACGACTCCGCCTCCGACTACGAATATTACGACTACTACTACGACTACTACTGCGAATGCTCCTACTACGACTACTACTACTGCTACTACTACTACTACTACGGCAACTATTACGACTACTACTGCGCCGACGACTACGACTACGACTACGACTACGACTACGACTGAAACTACTACTACTACTACTACTACTACTACGACTACTGCTACTACTACTACTACTACTACTACTACTACTACTATCACTACTACCATCACTACTACTGCTACTACTACTACTACTACTGCTGCTACCACTACTACTACTGCTACTGCGACTGCTATTGCTACTACTACTACTACTACTACTACTACTACTACGACTACTACTACTACTACTACTAATACTGCAACTACTACTACTTCGACTACTGCGACGAGTACTAGTACTAGTACTACTCCTCCTCCTCCTATTACTACTACTACTACTACTACTACTACTACTACTACTACAACTAATGCTGCTACTACTGCTCAGTGAGATCATACACAAGCCAATCGGCCGTAGGCGCCATTGATGTACAACGGCACTGTACACGTCTCCAGAATCCCGACCCCGCGACGGCAGCAATGGCGTGGATGCTAGGTGGCGACATCCGAACCCTAACCGCACCTCCCAACCATCGACTCCTGCATCGATGGGAGGCGGGTGGTAGGGGAGGAGGAGGAGGTGGAGGAGGAGGAGGAGGAGGCGGCGGCGGAGGCGGAGGAGACACTTTCTGCACGTCGGGCTCAGCACGGTCCCCCTTACGCGAGGCCCTCACGCGCAGTCGCAGGGCGGCAAAGGAGCCCTCCGTGGAGAGCCCCCGGCACGCGCACTCGGCCCGCAGCTCCTGCGCCCCCCGGGGGGGCCAGGGATGACCCCCCCGCCGCGCACGGGGCGCCCGCTCCCACCGCTGCAAGCCAGGCGCTCCTCGCCCCTGCAAGCCGTGCGCTCCTTTTTTTGTTCCGCTTCAACCGCTTACGCGTCGGTCGAAAGAAGTGGGCAGAAACATGAAGTAGGAGGGCGGATGTAGTAGATTGGGTCCGGGCCCTCCCAGAGAAGAACAAAACACAGCAACAGCAAGCCGATTCTTGAAGTACGAAGGCGCTTGCAATAGATTGGGATCTGGGAATTCAAAAATACCTACTTTCAACGACCGGCGTGTAAGTGACAGCCAGGCGCTCCTCTTCTGCGGCAGCTCATGGGGGGCCTCCCATACCGTCCCGTGGGCTCGCGAATCAGCGTCGAGTCGACGCTAACTAACATCGGCGCTACATCGACGCTGACATCCGCGCGGATCGACTCTAGATCGGCGCGATCTCGTCGATTACCAGACGCTAATTGACGCTAGTACAGGCTACACGTTGAATTCCGAGGGTATGCAAGGCTCCCATGATTTGCCACCGAGCTCCTCCACATTCTGCTCTTCCTTCATGGCGTTAGGCGTTTGGGTCAGCTGGGAACGTGGCGTTCGAACTCTGCTACTCCACCTCCTCCTGCTTCTCCTCCCCCTCTTGATAGTCCTCCTCCATTGGAACCCCACTGACTGGCCGACCGCTGATTGTCGATTATCGCCCATCCTGCACGGCCCTACAGGATTAAGCTTAGTACTGATTATATACGCGGATGGCAGCCGAACCAGGCACGACTTAGGAGATCGAGCATTCAGTCTGTGAAAATCAGAGTGACGCATGACACATCTCAACCATGCACCCGAGTAGGTGATGCAATGCTGACTTGCCATATGGACGGTGAGAAAGGAAAAGGCAAATGCAGGAACAGGGGCGAATCCAGCGAGGCGACGATCGGAGAAGAGCGGGGTGGCGGGGTGCAACGGCAAAGACTGGCTCCCGTGAGGCCCGCTCCATTCCTGCCCGCGCCGCCCTCCTTCATTCCCGATGCGGCACCGGCGGAATCATACAAAAGGAACGCACCGTTTCCGATGGGGCTCCATCGAACACGCTCAAAACACATGGGTGTGAGGTAAGGTTCGGCGGCGAGTGAGGAGGGGAAGTGAGAAGGGGCGAGCCTTCTCAGAAGGCTCGCCAGTCCCCCCGCCTTCCGAGAAGTTTTCGAAGCCTTCCCTGAAAACGAACCAACTTCTCAGAAGGCGCGAGGGCTTCTGAGAAGTCCCGCCGCCTTCTGAGAAGGCCTTCTCCTTCCCACTTCCCCCCCTCCCTCGCCGCCGAAAGGTGCCATCGGAAACACAGTGCACACGGCGTCTCCGAGAAAGGGCCATCGGAAACGCTTGCAGCGCGCCGTGTCTGACGGACGCCATCCGAGGGATTGCCGGGCCCCGCAGCCCCAGATGCACCATCTTCGAGCTGGCACGCGAAGGAATGCGCCTGCAACGCTCCCGGGGATCGCACCGTGGTCGGGCCCCGAGGCCCATCCGATCTCCCGGCACCAGACGCACCTTCCTCGAGCCGGCGCGAACGGACGTCCCAAGCGGCGAGCACATCCGCATCTGGGGGAACCAAAAGGTACCGACACCGCCGCTGCTCCCCGGACCTCTCCCGGGGTGCGTTCTGACCAGGATTTCGAGGCGAATCCAGCGGTGGCGACGAGGGCCGCCTAGGAGGCCCAAAAAGGGGAAAACGAGGAAAGGGTCGAGGTGTATAGGCTACCCTCTCCTCCTCTGCGCATCCGTGCCCTCGCGGCTCGGATTGCCGAGCGCGACCCCGCGGATGCGCAGGCGTGGCACGGATGCGCTCCGCGCGGGGCAGCCGAGAGGAAGCGCCCCGTGTGCGCGGGGTCGCGGCCCAGGGGCTGGGCCCGCGGCGCCGCGGATACAAGCATGTCTTCTGGCCGCCCACGAGGGCTGCAACTGGGAAGGGCCGTCGACTCTCAGGACGCACCATCTTCGGGCCCCAGGACGCACTACCCTCGAGCCCACGCGCACGGAGCGCAGCCGGGGCGATCCTGCAATCGCACACGCCGTGGTTTGGCTCATCCTCGAGCTGACGCGTACGGAAAACGCCCCTCGGACGGTCCTGGAACGTACCCTGGTCTGGTGCCGAGACGCACCATCCTCGGGAAGGAACCCATGGAATGTGGCTCTGGGGGACTGAGCCAGATCTCCCGAAAGCACCCGACAGGAGAAGGTCTGCCATGATTGAAATCGGTAGCCACTCCATCCGCCGCACCCTGTCCCTAGAGCTCCTCCACGCTCATGTCGGTGGGCGCCAGCTTGGCCTCTCGCTCTGGCGCTAGGGCATATGACTGTGGGAGAAGGGGTGAGCAGATAGTGGAGAGTCGGGGGATCAGGAGAGGGGAGAGAGGGAGAGGGCGAGAGAAAAGGGAGGAAGACAGCGAGAGAAAGAGATAAAGAGAGAGAGAGAGAGAGAGGACAGAAGAGAGAATAATATATATACATAAATATAACAAACAAGAGACATCGAGAGAGGCAGGGGGCAAAGAGAGGGAGAGAGAGAAACATCATACAACCATCCGTATATATATATAGAGAGAGAGGGAAACAAAGAACATGAGAGAGAGAGATAACTATATATAGAGAGAGAGAGAGAGAGAGAGAACGAGAAACAATCACGCAAACCTCGGACATATCTGTCCATAAGACACGGATGCATTTCCTTTGCTCGTGTCGCTCTTAGGGTGGAATGTGCTCGGCATGCCGTAAACAGAGCAGGACGAAAGCGAGCTATACTGAGGGATTAAAAAAACGGCCCTACCCTGGATTACAAGTGCGTGGTCTGTAAACCTCCTGGGAACCCCCAGAGCCTAGAGCCGCCAGGACGCGGCACATCACGCAGGGTTTACCCTGTCAGCCCACAGGAGTTTCAGAGCACAGCGCCTCGTAAACCAGGATAGGGGCGTTTTTTCTGCCCTTGATATACTGCTATACCCATCGTTTGGAAGAAGCGGGAAAACACATACAGTAGGAACGGGCTGAAAACAGATTGGGTTCCGTCAGCCCCCTGAGAAAGAAGAGCAAGGGGAAACCGGTCAACTCATTGGAATCGGAGAGCGCTTGCAGTATTTTGGCACGTTTGAGGAGCCAGAAATACAGACTGTCAACGGCCGAGGTGGAAGCAGGTCTGCCGACAATTTGCCGCGCCGCAAGGGTCCCCCACTAGTGGGTCCAGGAAACTGCAGGGCCGTTATTCACCGTTTCCGAACAAAAATGTCTCTTGAACATGGGAACAACAAAGAACGACGACGGGACACAACAAAAAAAGGCTCCAGGATGGGAACGGGAATCGAAACCGGGAAAAAAACGGCTCCAGGATGGGAACCGGAGACGGAACAGGCACAACGAACAGAGACGGAACCGGCAAACGAAAACGGCGCCCTGGAACCAGCAACAGAAACGGGTAAAAAAACACGGCCCTCTCGTTTCCAGGGCCCACGAAGGCTCCCCCCCGAGGACGAGGATAGACGGCGCGCCCGGGGGAAGTGAGAAGGGGCGGGCCTTCTCAGAAGACTCGGAAGTCCCCCAGCCTTCTGAGAAGTCTTCGAAGCCTCCCTCAGAGAAGCAAAGTGCCTCTCAGGAGGCGCGAGGGGGCTTCTGGGAAGTCCCGCCGCCTTCTGAGAAGGCCTTCTCCTTCTCGCTTCCCCCCCTCGCTCGCCGCCGAGAGCTCCTTCTCCTCCTCCGCCTCCTCCTCCTCCTCCCTCCTCCGCCTCCTCCTCCTCCTCCTTCTCCTCCCCCTCTCCTCCCTCCTCCTCCTCCCTCCTCCCTCCTCCTCCTCCTCCCCCTCTCCTCCTCCTCTCCTCCTCCCCCCTCCCCCTCCTCCTCCTCCTCATCCTCCTCCTCCTCCTCCTCCTCCTCCTCCTCCTCCTCCTCCTCCCTCTCTCCTCCTCCTCCTCCTCCTCTCTCCTCCCCTCCCTCCCCCTCCTCCTCCTCCTCCGCCTCCCCCTCCTCCTCCTCCCTCCTGCTCCTCCTCCTCCTCTCCTCCTCCTCCTGCTCCTCTCCTCCTCCTCTCCTCCTCCTGGGGGCGACCGAGGGCGGCCGAGGCGACGACGTCTTCGGGGAGGCCCCCCCCCCGCGGTGGAGGGCGCGGCCGAGGCGGGGGCCCGCCGCGGGAGAGGGTGCGCCGCGCGGGGGGCGGGGGGCGCTCCAAGAGGGGAGCGTCCAACAGGGGAGGAGGAGAGGAGGAGGAGGAGGAGGAGGAGGAGGAGGAGGAGGAGGAGGAGGAGGAGGAGGAGGAGAGGAGGGGAGGAGGAGGGAGGAGGAGGGGAGGAGGAGGATGAGGGGGAGGAGGGGGGGGAGGAGGACGAGGAGGAGGAGGAGGAGGAGGAGGAGGAGGGGGAGGAGGAGGGGAGCGTCCAACAGGGGAGGAGGGGGAGGGAGAGGAGGAGGAGAGGAGGAGGAGGGGAGGAGGGGGGGGAGGAGGACGAGGAGGGGGGGGGGGAGGAGGGGTTTGCATATCATGGCCCGAGGCAAGTGCGCGGACTGGGGGGGAAACAAGGGGCGTACTCAAATCCCACCAGCCCTCTGAGCGTAGGTGGTTTAGCGAACTTTGTCTTCCATCTTCCAACTACCTCTCCTTCCCCGATTCAGATGCACCCCCTCCCCAAGGCGACCGGCAGCAAACCAGAAAACATGAGGACACCATGCGGGCCCCACCCCACCACTCCTGCCAAACAATACAAAACGTACTCTGCGTCCAACCCGATGCGGCCGCATCCCACCATCCATGCCAAAAAACAATACAATGTACACTTTGGGGCAAAGTTTTGAGTCATGTTCGTGAGGCCCGCGAGCATGTTGTTTTGCTTTTGACAGGGACGGCGGGGGTGTCAGCATATTGTCGACTGTGCGCAGGGCTACCATCCCTAACGAAAACCAGTACAAAATGCACCTCGCAGCTCAATCTGGACCATGCGCGGCCACCCCCCGATCACTGTGTCAAATGATATTTGACAGGGGCGGCGGGGGTGGTGGCGTGTGGCCTGCTGTGCGCAGGCCCATCAGACACAATGGTGGTCATTCTTTCCGACAGGGATGGTGGGGGCCGACATGCTTCCCGATGTGTGGTGTCACGTGCGTAGGCGCACCTGGCACACTCTGCGCGTGCCCCGAACGTGGCGCACCTGGCACGGCTGGGGAGGAGGGAGGAGGGAGGAGGGAGGAGGGAGGAGGGAGGAGAGTATGCGGCACGCCCGGCGCACGCGGAGCGCGTGGCGCACCTGGCGGACCTGGCGCGCCTGGCACGCTCGGGCCCCAGGGGTGCCTGGCGCGCGCGGCGCGCCCGGCACGCGTCACGCACCTCGGACCTCGCCCGGGCATCGCGTGCATGGGGCCGGTTTTGGTTCCCAATAGCTGCCCGTCCTGAGACGACCGCTGAACGTGCTGAGGCTCGTGTGCTACTGATGTTTTGGGAGGGCGGGTGGGAGTGAGCTAGACGGCTTGTTATCTAGGAGGGCGTCTTGACCCCTCCCCCATATCCCTCCCCTGGACCTGGAAAAGGGGGGCCCCAAAAAGGCTTCCGCAATGGCCAAGCGCCAAGATGCCAAGATGGCTCAAGATGGCTCAATATGGGGAGGGGCCGACGGGCTAGAGCGCAAAATGGCCAAGATGGCTCAAGATACCTCAAAATGGTTCAAAATAGCCTCCGACACACATCTATGGAGCCTCAAGACGACCCCGAAACGGTTTCAGGTGCCCTCCGGGCCCTCCAAGGACCCCCCCAAGAGGCCAAAGTGGCTCCCAAACCAAAGACAAGCATATTACTCTTTGCCTTCTCGCCCTGCCGCTTCCAATGGGTTCGCGAGGCCTCAATATGTCCCCAAAACGGCCCAAGAGAGCCCCGAAAGCTCAAGAGAACCCGAGCGCCTCAATATGCCATATATGTATATAACAAGGGGGAATCCTGGAATGTCCGATCCCCCCTCTTTTGGAATCGTGGGGCAAAACGGCCCAAGGGGGCCGCCCAGACCCCTTCAACGAGCCTCAAGAGTGCTCCAACACGGCCTCAAGAGAACCCCAAACGGGCCTCAAGAGAGCCTCAAGAGGCTCCGCGAGAATCCCAAGGTAGCCTCAAGATGGATCCAAGAGACCTCTGGGAAAACGATTCCAAGGCGGCTGTTGCACTACACTCTTGTATTTCCCAGATCAAGGCAACTCGCCTGGCGATCTGTTTCTGGATGGGCTGGTGGGGGTACTTTTTGGTCAGCGGCCTCGTGCAGCGGGTCAAACAGCGTCCACTCTAGCCGGGCCGCGAATAAGCAGCAGAAAGCGGGAAACGGAAAAGCAAAACAGGCGCAGAGAGGGGCCGACGAAGCGAACGCGCGGGCTGCCACTCAGACGTGCACCGAAAGCAGCACTCCCAACCTGGTGGCGTGGAAATCCCGGTGGGCGGCGCGACCATGAACGCGCAGAGGTCGATCACCCGTTGTGAGTCGGCATAGGGCCCGACGTAAACGAGCAGGTCCGACAGGCACTTCAAGGCGACATCCATGCCGTAGGTGACACGACAGCATCGTGTCGGCGCCGGAATGAAGAGGGGGCAGCCTCGTCACAGACATGACTGCAAACGGCAGATCCCCAGGTATGTACACCTGATGGCACAACTTGAAAGCGAAGTTCATGAAAGAGAAAGCAGCCGACGGGCGCCCAGAGCCACCCATGCCGAAATCCTTGCACCGAGAGGGACGGCACCGTAGCAAGTCCCCACGGAACCCAAGCGGTCACCAGTGGAAGCTGACACCAAGCAGGAGCAGGCCAAGGGCCACCTGGCCGCCCATCCCCGGTGTGGTCATGCACGGAATCCGAACCGAAACCTCACGAAACCCTCCCAGTCGCCAGCGGAGGCCGACGCCAGACAGGAGCAGGTCAGGGGCCACCTGACTGTCCGTCCCCAATGAAACACGCATGGAATTCAGGCTGTCAGAGCACCAACGGACAGCAATATTGGCGGCGACTCCAGCCGCGTGGGGTAACCCCGGTGAGACGAGGGAGATGAAAAGGAAGTGCACGCCAGGCACGGTCGGCAACCCGTTGTGGCAGCTACCCGTTGCGGCAATAGGAAACAGGAGACACGAGCATCGGAGCCCACTGATCACTTTCGGCCATCAGCAGGGGGGGAGGGGTGGCGCCGGCTGAAGGCAGCCAATAGGCACTTACCACCCAGTCCCGATTAATACATGATCCCAGCGACGCAGGAGAGGGAGAGTCAGCAAACCGCTGAAGCAAAAGGAGAAGAAAGAGGAGAGTTCACCATAACCCGGTGTTCACTGACGCGCACGCCAGGCGCTCGGTACCGAATGCATGATCACAGTGACGCAGGAGGGGGGGAGTCAGCTAGCCGCTGAAGCAAAAGGAGAAGAAGGAGGAAAACTCACCATAACCCTGTGTACACTGACACAAACGCCAGGCGCGGCGCTCGGTATCGATGCTTACCTCAGTAAACCCGCCACGGGCACCAGTTTGCCATTGCTCTTCGCACGAAGTCCTGGGAAAAGCTGGGCTCTTTCGGCCGCGAAGTAGCGTGCAGTCACGGATGATGAAGTCCTCCATTGAGCTAGCACACCATCCCGTATGCGCCAGCGGGTGTAGGCAATGCGTGCTTTTTGGATACGCCAGCTGCTGGGAATGCTTTTAAGTCAGCGGCCACAGGCGCGCGCGCCAGCGGCGAGTCCAGTCAAAGCGAGGCACGCAGCGACAAATTCACCTAAAGCAGCGGGGCGCAGCTTCACCTAGAGCGGCTCGGCGGAGCCTCGCGCAGCACTTCGGCGGCGGACCGGCGAGTGGAGGGGGCAAAGACCGAGTCGCAGTGCCAGCGCGCAAATATGCAAGGCGTCGGAAGCGTCAGGTAGTCGGGAAAAAACGACGACCAGGGACAAAAGCAGCACAAATTAATGCAAGGGCGCAAGACCCCAGACAACTTCGAGAGCACCAGGGTGGCCGCAGCCAAGAGGACCGACAGTCGGAGGTCGAATCGGTGCCCGGTGCGGGCGAGCGCTGGCAGGCTGCGAGGAACCAGGGCGGCCGAAACCGCGAAGTCCGACGGCGGCAGAACGCGCGAGTACGAGAAGCAGCCAAGCTGCCGCGCGGCCAAGATGGCGCGGGCCACCACGAACAAGCGCATGAAGTGGCGCCAGCAATGTCGCACACCAGGAGCACTGAAGAGGGTCACGAGCCCGTAGTTAGCACGCCGGAAGTGGCGACAGGCGAGCATCGGCACCACGGGGAAGACCCGGGACTGGAACCAGGGTCGCAACCGCAGCGTGGCAGGAACACGGAAGGTCTAGGCTGAGCCAGAGACGGCCGCGGGCCCCGAGGGGGGGGGAGAAACCCCGACTTGGGCGGAAGAGCGGGGCGCCACCAAACGACGGGGAGACCGGGGGCCAAGCCGAGGGGGGGGGCACCCCGACCCGGCGGCCCGCCCGGAGTCGCGGGGAAGGGACGCGCCAGAAGTGAAAACAACTAAGGCAGGCCAGAGGCCGACGGGGGACAGGTGGGCCACAGCCCGAGCGGTAGCCCACGAGTCAATTGCCAGCAGGCCACTGCCCGAGTTCCCAAGGGCGGGGACCAGCGGGGGCTGGGCAGGGAGTGGCGCCAGGGAAGGGGCACTGCCTGCAAGTCAAGCGACGGCCACAGCAAGGACTGCAGCAGACGCGTCTAGGGTGAAACAAGCGGGGGACAGGTGGACCGCGGCCCCGGCGGTGATCCACGAGCCAGGATTGTCAGCAGCCCGCTGTCCCTGTCCCGAGGGCAGGGAACAACGGGGGGGGAAACCTCGAGCCGAGACGGCTTGAGCCAAGTGCTTGAGCCAGTGGGCTTCGGAACTGTTGGCTGTTGGGGGGTACGTTTTTTTGGTCGCGGGCGGACGCGGATTCGCTGTCGCCGAACTGAGAGGTCCGGGCCACGGGCATGCCAAATTAGCAACGCGCAAGCCTACAAGCGTAGCTGCCGAGCCCGCTCGCACTGCCTACCGCCGGTGGGGCCGCGGGCGGATGGGGAGCAGCTGTTGGGGATATTTTTTTTGATTGGCGGCTCCAAGGAAAAGTCCGAGAAGCGGGGCGGGCGCGGCTGGGGCACAGGGCGAGATAATCCCACCAGCCCTCTGGGCGTAGGTGGTTCCGGGAGTTTCCTCTTCCAACCTCCTTCATCCCATTCGGGGAGGGGTTTACCCCTCCCCCTAACCCCTCCCCTGGACTTGGACGGAGGGGGGCGCTTGTAGTTAGAGCGTCCAAAACGGCCTCGGCGAGGAAACCAAAATCATAGGTTTTACAATGGTTTTGGCTGATTTTGGAGGCTCCCGAGGGGGGGGGCTAATTGAGGGACCCCCTTCCTTTGATCGATCACCTCCAAGATGGCCCCAAAAGCGTTCCCAAGGCTCCCAAGAGCGCCCCAAGAGGACCTCAAGAGGCGCCCAGGAGGCCCCAAGAGGCGACCAGGAGGCCCCAAGAGGCTTCCAAGAGTCCCCCAAAATACCCCAAAGAGGCCCCCAAGAGGCCCCAAGAGGCTCCCTCGAGGCACCCAAGACGGTCCAAGAAGCTCCCGAGACCGCCAAGAGGCCCCCAAGACGCCCCAAGAGACCTCAAAGAATATCCCAAGAGACATCCCAAGAGACTCTGCGAGGCATTCAAGAGGCCTTTGACTCTTCTGATCGCCCTTTATCCTCCTCCTCCTCCTCCTCCCCCTCAGCATCACCATCACCATCATCATCATCATCATCATCATCATCATCATCATCATCATCATCATCATCATCACCATCACCATCACCATCGTCAAGACCACCACCATCATAGTCATCATCAGCATCATCAATATCAACATCAACATCAACATCATCATCCGCCTATTCCTCCTCCTCCTCCTCCTCATTCCTCCCTCCCCACCCTCCTCCTCCTCCTCCTCCTCCTCCTCCTCCTCCTCCTCCTCCTCCTCCTCTTCCGCCTCCGACTCCTCCTCATTCCCCCCCCCCCTGGGGTACGACGGCCTCCCCAACCCCGTGTTCCTCTGTATGCTTCCCCGCTTCCATGATCACCTCTACTCGCCTGGGCGTCGTTTCTGGATGGGCTGGTGGGGATACGCGAAGCGTAAAGAATTGGTTACGACGGCGCATAGGCCGACGCAACAAGTGCACCTGCAAGAGGCAAAATGCCCCTCATTAAAATGCGAGCGACCCAGAAACGCGGACGCAAGCACCAGACTGAAGCAGACGGAGGAGAAGTCGCACAGTTGCGCCAGCTCGAACCGTACAGTCCAGCGAGCACTGGCTAGGGCGTCGGTGGGGAAAGCGGCGGGGGCGAGAAAAAGGGAGGAAGAAATCTGCTGGGGATACGCGAAGCGCCAAGAATTCGAAGACGGGGCCACGAGATACGAGGAGATACCATGGCCCTGGCCATGACATCCCCACCCCCTAGTCATCACCCCCTCGTGGCCGCTCCCGAAGGGCGCCACAAGGTTCCGCCCTGCAGCGGTGCCGGGGAGGCGCTGATCAGACTGGGAGCCCACACCAGAGCGTCCGCGCCCGAGAGAGAGGGAGACGGAGAGGCAGAGAGACGGGTCTCTGTGGTGGTGCAAGAACGGGGGCATGGGGGGGGGGAGACAGGGAGGGGATGAAGGCCTGCCACACAACTGCCTTGCGCGATGGCTTGTGCATGCCACCCGCGCGGCACGGCGAACAAACATGGCGCGCACGCGCGACCTTACGCGGGCAGCTCACGCGACGATGTCCGCACCATTGACCCTCGTTGGCTACGTCGCTCAACTGCCCCGAACCCGCCCGGGGCATCGCCCCGAGTTGTCACTACGAGCCCGGCCGTCCGGCCGAGGCGGCGCTGTGCTGTCCACGCTGACGGGAGAGCTCGAGGCCCCGAAACCGTGTGGCCCCGGAATCCCCAACGACCGCACCGCGCGGGCCGTCTCCCCACGGTGTCTCGGGACCTTGCCACTACGAGCCCGGCCGTCCGGCCGAAACGGCGCTGTGCTGTCCACGCTGACGGGAGAGCTCGAGGCCCCGAAACCGTGTGGCCCCGGAATCCCCAACGACCGCACCGCGCGGGCCGTCACCCCACGGTGTCTCGGGACCCTGGAGTCAGGTCGGGCATGTCCCCCTACAGGCGGATTTTGGACGGATTTTGAACGAAATGTACCCGTACAGGCGGATTTTAGGAACAAAAGCGCCAACATACGAAAAACATGCGCAAAAATACTAAACACATCGTCCCTGGACTATTTTTTTACAATGTTTGAATGTTCCCCCTGTAGAGGGACAGGCCTGACCTTACCCTGGAGGTCCTGGTCGCTCGAGACCTCCTCGGAGAACGCCCCGAGTCCCAAAACCGTGCGGCGACTCAATCAGCCCCACGGACTCACCACGCGGTGCGGCCAGCGCGCTGTTCGGGGGCTCCCGACTGGTGGAAAATCGCGGATCGACTGATTCCGGGTCAATCCAAGCCGGGGTCCGTCAGGCTGTGCAGGGTCCTGCAAGACCCTGCAGGATCCTGCACGCGAGCCCGGGTCAATGCGCCCGTGGCTCCGCAGGATCCTGCAGGATCCGCCGCTCTGACTGAACCCCGTCTGCACTGACCCCCGTCTCTGGAGCCCCGAGAGGAGAGACGAGTCTGCCCGCGCTGGCCAGGAGCGGGCCTCCGTGTCCAACACGGCCCGCGCTTTCTGCGCGGGCATCATCCCGGCAACCGCCTTCGCCCGCAGCGTCTGCTCCAGCGCCGCGACCAGCTCGTCGCGTGCCTCGTCGCGCTCCTCTCGGCGGGGGGGGGGGGGGGGCCGAGGAGGGCGCACAGCCAGACGGCAGGGGCCTGCCCTTTGAGACACTCCGGGAGGAGAGCTGCGCCTCCTGCGCGGGTCAGACGGGGGAGAGGGTGGTGCTGCGCCTGGCGCCACGGAGCGGGAGGATGACGAGGACGGGGCTGAGGGCGAGCCCTCCACCCCCTGCCCATCCGCCTCATTCTACTCCTTCAGTCGCATCCTCATCTCTCCCTCCTCTCCTTCGGGTGAGGCGGGGAAGCCCTGGGCTGGACTGGCACTAAGTGCTTCGCATTCGATGGGCGACTTGCTGTGCAGAGAAGCCCCAGCCCGCCATTGATGGCACCCAGCATCGTACCCTTGAGCCGCCCCTCTGGACAAGAGAAGCTCTCTTGCCCAGAAACGCGGCGAGTGACGTGCGGTTATCCCCGCTCCCCCGCGCGTAACCGACCCGGCGGAGTGCCGCCCTTACGGGGGTGCAGTGACACACAGATGAATAGGCACAAATCCCAGGATTCCCCATATTGCTCCATCTGTTCTGGAGCTTCGTCTCCCCCCTGACTTCCCGTATTGCCCCTTCTTTTCCGAAGGATCAGCGATGATCTGTGTCTGCGGGTGTAATTTTGCCCCCCTCTGGAGTCCTCTTCTACGGACTCCGCGTATCGCGTGGTTGCCAGGTAGAGCGACTTCAGCTTCTTCATCTCCAGCTTCTGCTTCTCCACCACCTTCATCGCCTCGGCATGATGATGATGATGATGATGATGATGATGATGATGATGAGGAGGAGGAGGAGGAGGAGGAGGAGGAGGAGGGAGGAGGAGGAGGAGGAGGAGGAAGAGGAGGAGGAGGAGGAGGAGGAGGAGGAGGAGGAGGAGGAGGACGACGAGGAGGGAGGAGGGCCTCGGCGAGGTCGGTCTTCGTGGAGGCCAAATGCCGCTCCGCCTCGCTCGCCCGGCTCTCGGCGTCCTGCGCCGCGCGCTGGAGCATCTGCACCACGCTCTGGAACTTGGCAATCATGGAGGTGCCTCCGGCGGCCAGCTCCTCCTCCTCCTCCTCCTCCTCCTCCTCCTCCTCCTCCTCCTCCTCCTCCTCCTCCTCCTCCTCCTCCTCCTCTCCTCCTCCCTCCTCCTCCTCCTCCTCCTCCTCCTCTCCCTCCTCCTCCTCCTCCTCCTCCTCCTCCTCCTCCTCCTCCTCCTCCTCCTCCTCCTCCTCCTCCTCCTCTGCCTCTGGCGGCTCACGGGAGAGGAAATAGTGTAACGCAGAATGGCATGAACATAACAACTCGGAGGTCCGCGCGGATTTCTCGGATCTGCGCTGGACCCCCCTCCCTGGCGCGCGGAGCGCGCCAGGGGCGGCGCCGGAGGCGCCGCCAGGGGCGCGGGGGGGGTGGGCGCACCCTTCTGAGAGGGCCCCCACTCCCCTCTCACAGGGCTCAGCCTAAACGCTGCTTTTAGTTCTCGTCTTTTGTATGTTTTCCCTCGGCTTGTCTTCGCTCCTCCTATGCTGTAAACTGGAATCAAAACCAACACGGCCCACGAAACCGCCAAAACACAGCTCAGTTCGAGCCCTGCACCGCCCCAGACGTGGGCGGCACGGCGGGCGGGGCGCGAGCGGGGCTGTGACGGCCAACTGAGAGGGGGCCGAGGGACGCACAAATAAACAAACGCAAATCCTAATTAGGGTTCCTCGTATTTGCAATATTTTCTGGATGTTCGTCTTCCCCTCCAGTTCCCGTACCTTCCATATCTTCATGAGGTACGCTCACAAGCCGCAAGGAACGTCGACATGGCCTTCGCAAGGGCCGGACCCCCCTCCCCCGGAGAACGTCCGGCTGACGAGTCCCCTGCCCTCCCACAGAAGGCTCACCCCCCTCTGGCCCCAGCAACTTCTGCTCGAAGCGCCCGGGTGCCTGGCAGCCTCGGTGTCAAGACCGAGATGATGCTCTCCAGGAGGCCCCTGTCCTTTGAGCATCGGCGGCGAGCGAGGGGGGGGGGAACTGAGAAGGGGCAGGCCTTCTCAGAAGGCTCGGAGACCCCAGGCCTTCGGAGAAGTTTCTCAAGCCTTCCCCGAAGACGCTGAAAGCCTCTCAGACGGCTCGAGGGCATCTGAGACGTCCTGCCGCCTGCTGAGAAGGCCGTCTCCTTCTCACTGACCCCCCCCCCCTCGCTTGCCGCCGATTGAAGCCTCCCCAATGGAGTCCGAGCAGATGAGGTCGGGGTATCGCGCCGCATCGCCAATGCATCGGCGATGTGTCGGCGGTGCGGCGACGTTGGCGACGCATCGCCGCGCCACTGGCGTGGACAAACCGAACCGCATCATCGATGCAACATCGATGCGAAGCGATCCTCCGACCCCATCCGCTGACCCCATCTGGGAGGCCCAGATCGGGCGTGAATCAATGTGGGGGCGATCAACGGCGAGGGGCGAAACGTGCACCCCTCGTGCTCAGGCCCCTTTGGGGCAAAAAATATGCACCTTTCTTCACCACCCATTTATCGGCTACACGCAAGAGTGACCCTGGGTAAGAAAAGTGACCTTTGTTGCGCGGCTTTTGGGGGGCCGCGGGGGGACCAAACCTGGGCGCGCAAGCCGCTGCTCGTGCTTCGTTTTCAGCCATCTGGGGGCCCATATGTGCCCGCACCAGAGGTCACTCCGGCGAAAGGCCACTCTCACGTCCAGTCGACTCGATCGCACCCCCGCTACTCCAGATTTCGTAATAAAAGGGAGGGGGTCTGGACCCTCCAAGACAAGCCATTTCAGACCTCCCCCGTGGGAGAACCCTCCAAAACGTCGTCCCCAGACCCCCCAGGCCCTCCAAGACAGCCTGGAAGAGACCCCCCCCGAAATGAGACCCCCCTGCCTTTCTTACGAGATCTGGAATACCCGACGCCCGAGCAGATCGGGAGGGGGTCTCATTTCGGGGGGGGTCTCTTCCAGGCTATCTTGGGGGGCCTGGGGGGTCTGGGGACGATGTTTTGGAGGGTTCTCCCACGGGGGAGGTCTGAAATGGCTTGTCTTGGAGGGTCCAGACCCCCTCCCTTTTATTACGAAATCTGGAGTACCCGACGCCCGAGCAGATCGGGTTTCTGCTGACCCGGGCCAATGCAGACCTTGGCCAGCCGGGCTCTGCAAGCTCCTGCCGGAGCCCGGGCGCTCGCCGAAGGCCCCCGCAGGTGCCCCCCGGCCCCGCAGGGCGCCGGCCAGACCCGGCGACCTGGCGCCGACCCCCGTCTGCATCGACCCCCGCCTGCGCTGCGCCCCGGCACTCGGGGGGCGGCCAAGAGGGGAGCGTCCAGGAGAGGGGGGGGGGCGCAGATCCTGGCCAGCGGCGCGTGCGCGGCCCTTGGGGAGGGGGGGGGGCGCCAGGAAGTCTGGGGAGCTCTCGTGGCCCCCGCCGTGGGATCCCCCCGAGCCACCACCCCCCTCTGACGAGTAGCTATGCAAGGACCCCTAACCCTGTGGGAGGCGACCCAAGTAAGGAGGCCCCATTAGCAAGCAAGTAAGGGACCGATTAGCATGCAATGCAATGCAAGGGCCCAAGGAAGGAGGCCAAGAACACTAGGAGGATAGGGGGTCTTAGTGTCCCTAATTACTGTGAAGACGGGGACCTCAGTGAGGCCGCGCCTCCATCGTGTTACAGTCGGGGCCCTGAAGAAGGAACCCTTTTCGTTGGGGAGGGGCTCCGCGTTCCTCAAGTGTTTCACAGTTTGCCTCAGGTTTTCCTTATGTTTCCGATAGGAAATCGAAGCTTAACTTATGGGAAAAAAAAGGGGTTCGTTCCTTATTTAGGGTTCCTTAGGTCAACGCCCCGACTGTATTAGGGTTAGGGGCTCGTTCATCTTCGGTCACACCCATCTGATAGAAGAACAAAAGGCATAACCATGAGCTGTTGGCGCTCCACGCGCGGCAGCAGCGCGCGGAGCGCGCCAGGGGCTGCGCCGGAGGCGCCGCCTGGGGGCACCCGGCGCGGATCCAAGAAATCCGCGCTGAGCGCCCAACATGTTATGTTTGTGGCGTTGTTTCTCCTTGGATCTGAGGCCCCCGAGACACACAGGTTCAGTGGTTCCTGTATTCTCGATTACCCTAATTAGTCATCTCTCCTCTCTGGGGAAACCAAAGAGGGACCAAGACCGCTACTCCCCGGACCTCTCCCCAGGCGCGTCCTGGCCACGATTTCGAGGCGCATCCAGCGGTGGCGACGAGGGCCTCCCAGGAGGCCCAAAAAGGCGAAAACGGGCCCAGGGTAGAGGCATGGGCACCCACATGCGACGTCCGGATTTTCCAGGACGGCGTCCCCCAAAATCCCGACCCTATCCCTGGGGCCGATTTGTCATCCTGAATCGTCTTTTGACGGTCCAGGGGCCCGGCGAGGGCCCCCTGGGGCCGAGAATAGCGAAAAACATTCGTCCTGATTGTTTGTCACGACGCGATCATGTCCGGGTACCCTTTCCTCCTCGCGGCATGAACAAGTGTTCGTGGTCCCCTGAAACGAATGCAAAAGATGCCCGCCGCAGAGGAACGCACGTCCACGCCAGTACACATCGTCGCGCCCCCTTCGGGGCCAAGGCGATCAGCCGCGGAGCACTCTTACTCAGACACTCCGCCACCCTCCCCGACGAAGGGAGGCCAGGCCCTGAGAACACAGGCAGCCCAACGCAGCAACACCAGAGGAAGGCGGGACGCGCGTAAGCGCAGCAACACCTTTCCTCCTCCGACCCTCTGGGGCCCCCGAGACACACCTCGGGATCGGCCAAGAGGGGGGTGTCCAAGAGGGGGGGGTGCAAATCATGACCGGCGGCATGTGCGCGGCCCAGCGGGGGGGCCAGGGACGTATTGAAACAAGAAGAGGCGCCATGAAATCTGGGGAAATATCATGGCCCCCGCCATGATATCCCCCCCCCCTAGCCATCACCCCCCTCTTTTCCGCCCCCGACGTAAGCGCAGCAACACCTTTCCTCCTCCGACCCTCTGGGGCCCCCGAGACACACCCGCGTCAATCCTCCTCCTCCTCCTCCTCCTCCTCCTCCTCGGCCTCCTCCTCCTCCTCGTCAATCCTCCTCCTCCTTCTCCTTCCCCTCCTCCTCCTCCTCCTCGTCAATCCTCCTCGTCAATCCTCCTCCTCCTCCTCCTCCTCTGGGGCCCCCGAGACACGCCCGCGTCCTGCTTCTCCCCGCCGGGCTTCGCCGCCGCCCGCGCGGCGCCCGCGCGGCGCCGCCCGGCGGCCCGCCGGCAGGCCGTGGCGGCGGCGGTGAGGCCGCCGCCCCCCCAGCAGGCCTGCCCCAGGGATCGGCCTGAACAGCGCTGTTCTCGCGTTCGTTTGGCTTTCGTTTCTTGTCTCCCCATGTTTGACGAACGGACAACACGCACCCATACCCATACGGGGGTCGTTGGAAGGAGGACTGGCTATGGGTATGGGTGCGGGTTGTCGGACCCTGGGGAGCGCTCCCGTTCGAGCGGGGACCCCCATCCGACAACACGCACCCATAGCCCTCTCCGATCCCCCTATGGGTATGGGTGTGTGTTGTTAGTTCGTCCATGTTGTCGTCCGTCTCGTCTGCCGCAAAAAAACGAGGTCGCAGCGAGCACGGCCCACGAAGCCGCCACACCGCTGTTTCGGGTCGGGCCCCCTGGCCTGCCCCGCCGCGGCGCGCCCGGGCGGCGGCCAGGAGCGGCCGCACCCTTGCCGGCACGGCGGGCGGGACGTCGGCGGCGCCAAGGCGGGGCGCCGAGGGGAGCCGGGGCCGAGGAGGGGGAGGAGGAGGAGGAGGAGGAGGAGGAGGAGGAGGAGGAGGAGGAGGAGGAGGAGGAGGAGGAGGACGACGAGGTGGACGAGGACGAGGAGGCCGAGGAGGAGGAGGAGGACGAGGACGACGAGGACGACGAGGGCGACGAGGACGACGAGGAGGAGGAGCCCTCTCCCCCCTCCGGGAGACCGAGGGGGGCCACCACGGCGGGCTCGCAGCCTCCCCCCCCTTCCAGAAAACAGGGGCCCTGAGCATCCAGGACTCAAAGTAAGGAGTATCGATATTTGCGGGTGATGCTGCAGTTTGTTGCTGGACATATATATATATATATATATATATATATGTATATATATAAATATATATAGATAGATATACACATATTCTCATACGCACCTCTCCGAGGGAGTAGAGCTCAGAGGCGATTAATGCGCACGCGTCCGCGATTTTTCTGGGCGTTTCGCTCGGGACATCCTCGAAATTCTGAAAATCGGTGGCACCCCTCACGCAGATCGCGACGTCAGGGTCCAAAAACACATGGGAAATTCAACATTTTAACATAAAACCTTCAAAAACACATGTTAATTTCAATAATTGTGACCCCGATTCTCAGTGAATGGCGGTTTCGCTTGCAAAAATCCTTTTAAAATCGAGCCCCAGACCCCGCCTCGGAGCCTCCTGGGGGCCTCCTGGAACCCGCTGGGGCCTCCTGGGCCTTCTGAACCTTCTGGCACCCCAGACCTCGCCTCGGAGCCTCCTGGGAGTGTCCTGAAACCTCCTGGGGCCTCCTGGGGCCTCCTGTGGCCTCCTGGAGCCTCTTGGGGCCTCCTGAAGCCTCCTGGGGTCTCCTGGGGCCTCCTGAGGCCGCCTGGGGCCTCCTGGGGCCTCCTGGGGCTTCAGAACTACATGCACACAGAGACACAAATCACGCCCAACACATCACACGCTAGACAAACATAACACACACACACAACACCTACAACACACAAAAAGCACGCACCACACGAAGCATACATCACAAACACACACACACACACACACACACACACACACACACACACACGCACAACACTCACAATCCTGGGGCCTCCTGGAGCCTCTTCTGGTATCCAAGTCGGGCCTCCTAAGGCTTCCTGGGGGCCCTGGTACACACATCGCAAGGTGTGGCAACCCCACTTGCGCTCGAGTGCGACTTCGATGTTGCATTTCACTCCTGCTTCAAACGCCCCTTCAGTTTTTTGTATGAGCCTGGGCACACACGTGCCACTTGTATATACATATATATATACATAAATATATGCATATATATATATATATATATATATATATATAAATGGCATCGAGCGCGCCTCGCAAGTGATATCCGATGTGTTTCCAGGAAACGGGGAGGGGCCAATACCGGTTCGAACACCTCCCCCCACTCCCGCCGGCAAACGCCTCCTGCGGGTCCTCACCACCGTCCTCACCCCCGCCCTCACCACTATCCCCCCACCAACACCGCCCCCACCACTGTCCCACTGTCCCCACTGTTCCCACCACTGCCCCCAGGGTCCCCAGCAGTGCCCCCACCACTGTCGCACTGTCCCCACTGTCCCCCACATTGTCCCCACCACGGTCCACTCTCCCCACTGTCCCCGCTGTCCCAACCAGTCCCACCGTCCCCACTGTCCCCACCACTGTCCCACTGTCCCCACCACTGTCCCACTGAGCTGTCCCACTGTTCCCACCAGTCCCACTGTCCCCACTGTCCTCACCACTGTCCCCACTGTACCACTGTCCCCACAACTGTCCCAACTGTACCACTGTCCCATTGTCCCACCACCGTCCTCACCACTACCCTCACCACTGTCCCCACCACCGCCACCGTCCCCACCACTGTCCCACTGTCCCCACCACTGTCCTTGTGTGCCCACCACTGTCCCCACCACCACAGTCCCCACCACTGTCCCACTGTCCCCAATGTCCCCAACACTGTCCCACTGTCCCCAAACCACTGTCCTCACCACCACCGTCCCCACCACTGTCCCACTGCCCCCACTGTCCCCACCAGTAACCCACTGTCCCCACACCAGTGTCCCCTCCACCACCGTTCCCACAACTGTCCCACTGTCCCCACTGCCCCCACCACTGTCCCACTGTCCCCACTTTTTCCCACCACTGTCCCCACTGTCACCACCAGAGCCCTCACCTATGTCTCAGTGTCCCCACAGTCCCCACCACTGTCCCCACCACTGTCCCCACCACGGCCCCACTCTCCCCACTATCCCCACTGTCCCCATCACAGTCCCACTGGCCCCATGGTCACCACCACTGTCCTACTCTCCCCACTGCCCCCGCCGGTGTCCCACTGAGCTGTCCCACTGTCCGTACTGTCCCCGCCACTGTCCCACCGTGCCCACTGTCCCCACCACTCTCACCTTGCCCCCACTCTCTACCACCATCCCCACCACCGTCTCAACTTCCGTCCCGAAGGGGGGGGGGGGTCGAAGTGTTAGTGACGCCCCGTTTTCATGATGGACCAGGGGGGGTGAGGGGTTCGACCCGGTAGTGGCCCCCGACGGATTTTTCGCGGGGAGGGGGGACGTTTTGGAACCCCCCAGTGACCCCCCTGGTTTTCTGCCAGCAGCAGCAGAGTACGCTCTTTCTTTCCAATTCAAGTGTCCCTCCTGGGACTCGCACCCTGTTTTTTCCATCAAAGGAAGTCTTGAAGGTCAAACTGGGCCCCTGACCTCCGAATTACAACAACTACTGCTCCCGCCTGTACTTCCGCACAATTAATTGGATATCGCGCCCTCCCGCGGGACGTCCTCACAATTTATATAGAAACCTCGCTCTCGCGCGGGACTCCCTCGCACTTTCTTCAGACGATGCGCCCTCGGCGCTCAGGAATCACGCTCTCGCTTTGGCCTTTCTCACGGTTTGCTTGGGAATCGCGCTATCGCTCGAGACTTCCTCGGGATTCATGCAGGACCCACCATTCAACAACCCGCCTGCTCGACCTGGTCGCCCGGGCCCGCCTTCCCGACACGCACGCCATGGGTCTTCCCCCCTGATCTGCCTGTCTGCTTCTACCTCTTGTTTTCTGCTCCTTGCCACCTCCTGCGAATGTCTCTCGTGCTCCATCCTGCCCCCTCCCTCTCCCACCCGTCCTCTCTTCCCCTGTTTTAGGGGTTGCACTACATGCGCGGGGCAAGTGAGGTGCGATCGACGACGAAGGGGGCTGATACCGAGGGTTTGGGATACACGTGAAGGATGGCACGTGACCCAGATAGGAGCGAGTGTTTTTTAACATGGTTGATGCTGCTGTTGTTCTGGTTGTTGTTGAACACTATTTCTTCTTAAGAATAATTATTGTTGGGACCCCTGGTGCATGGCCCCCCCGCCGCGCCTAGGCCGCAGCCTCATTTTCATCATTTTCGTGAGGAAGTCTCAGGCAAAACGATGTGTGCCAGATCCGGTTGTGTTGTTACGATCGGTTTTCCCTTGCAAAAAAAAAAAAAACTAAAGTGGACATTTCTTGTTCTAACATAACCAAACTTCAAGAATCCCTTGCAAAAAATAAGGTAAAGTTGACATTCGCGCGCGCAAGACGAAATCCTTCCAAAACCTTAGTTTTCGTAGCGATTTTAACATAAAAACATCAAAAAACCAATGGTTTTTCAAAAAAAAATGTCAAAATTTCATCCCGCGCGCTCTTGCGGATTCGTAGGAAACCCAACACTTTTTAATCATTTCTGTCAAACGGGCTTTTGCGAGCAACTTTTTCGAACTTCTGCAACAACGGTTGCGCACCTGCCAGGGCCATCATCCCTGTCAAATAATACCATGCGGGACACATTCGTTTTTTCTTCGCGCGCGCACGCCGTCGTCGTCGGCCGCGGGGCCCTGAATAGTAGCCACGGTCGTCCGCATGCCACGAAGTGAAGTGTCCGAACGTCATAGGGCGGGAAGCTGGGTGTGGGTGGTGGCGAAGAGTCGTTTGGAAATTTGGTAGAGCTTGAACCGGCCCCCCCACAAAGTGGGGGTATTGCCCGCCTCCTATGAAAACCCTGGCACTGGTGAGAACGGTGTGTCCCCACGTGCTAGTAATTGTTGTTGTTGTTGTTGCGGAACTCTCATTTCTAAAAATATGGATTGCTGACCCCCCTCTGGTGGTGTATGTTCCACTTGAAGTGCTTCTCCCGGGGCTCGCACCCTGCTGCTTAACAGAAGAGAACGAGGTGCCACCAAACAGTGTTGTTGGGCCCTGGTTTAAAGCAACAACGGCGCCCGCCTGATACTTTATCACAAACTATTCCCAAATCGTGCTCTCGCGCGGGACCTCCTCACAATGTGTGCCGGAGTCGCGCCCTCCCCTGGGTCTTCCTTACACTTTACTCACACGCCGCGCTCTCGACACTCAGGGATCACGCTGTCGCTCTGGCCTTTCTCACGATCTATTTGGGAATCGCGCTATCGCTCGAGACTTCGTCGCAAGTCATGTCGCGTGGGACTGGCTCGTAAT